GAGGAGAAATCGAGCGAAGGGGGCCGTTTAAAATTCCGCGTGTATGTTTAGAGCCGGGATTTTCAGTGGGCATTCCAAAGATACGGCCGGCACGGACTCGCGCTTCATCTTTTATGGAACAGCCGTGCAAGCTCGAGCAAGCACGAACGAAAAGAAACACACCGACACGGCGGCCTCGTCTTCCGCTGGCGGTCGTTTCTCTTCCACTTCCGATTCTTTTCATTATCGCGTGGAACGAACGAGGACGTTATTTGAGGAAGATATGGGTTGTCCTATTCGTTCGGAATAGAGGGGTCCCCTTTTTTCGTCCCGGCGGCTTTCTCGTTAGCGCCGCTCGCGGGCAAAGGCACGTTTTCTTACACGAAGCGATTTAAAACGTCCGAGCTATGAGCAACCTCGCCTGATTAAAGCGTTGAAGAGGCGGGGACGATCTCCTAGAGACGCCCTCACAGAGTGAGTGCAGCCGAGTGCGGATAAAGCGGATGAAGAGGTCCGTCGAAAATGCACGGACGCGAAAAGGGCGAATGACCGGCTCGGCGATAAGCAACGTGATCTCGTCCGCTCGCTCACGCGTGTTTTGGCGATCTCGTCGAACTGTGATGTTCGTCTCGTTGAAATAATGCGAATATATCGCTCTTTACCGCCGCAAGATTCTGTTTCGCGCGCGTGTGTGCATGTGTTTGTGTGTCTGTATGCGTATGTGCGTGTACGTGTGTGCACGAAAAATAGAGTGCATTATTGTACCAGTGAATTTTGATCGAAATCGATACGGCAAGTTTGATGCGGATTGAAGCTTGGAAAGTACTTGTGAAACCTATGGCAGAAGCATCGAACGGTGAATACCGGATCCGATGAAATAATGACGAAATAAATCCGCCTTGTTGAATTTGGAATTTACGAGCGAGCTTTATGTTTACCTTCGGGAAATATAGGAGACACGAATTTGCAGTATTAATAATTCGATCCCACGAACAAACGTGCCATTTTTAGCAAGCGCGCGTTTTAAGCGCACCTGGTGTAATTGACACGATTTTATTAGCGGACATCCGATAGCACCAATATCAAAGGAAAACCGATCTCTCTAACTTTTTCCTCCTCTTATTCTACGTCATTATAATCTCCCCGATTAGCCCCCTTTCTCTCGTTAACAGAGCTATAGCAAAACAGCCATGATTGCAGCAAGAAGCTCTCGAGAGCGATTTAAACGTGGAATTAATGAGCGGGGACCAATCGCGATGCTACTTGACGTTGATTACGAATAAAGCGCTCATCGTTACGGTCTCTTTGCAATTGAGGCCGATTAAATGTATGTATTGTACCCGGTACGTCCCTATTATAAACATCAATGAGGCTAAAGTACCGCGGCTGAATAAAATGTGAAGTGATCCGGCGTTTCGAGGGCAGGCGTTTGAACATTGTCGAATATTGTCTGCGTCTACTTGTGCGCGTGGCGCGTTTCGTGTGCACGTTATCGTTAAAACATGAATTGCAAGTCCGAGTGTCACCGAACAGACAGTAATATCTACGCTAACTGCGAGTCAAATTTTGCCTTGTGAGACACTCAATTCCGACGAACTTGATTATCGAGCAAGTACTTAGAGTCGAGAGCCGCAGGTGTCGCAAAATTAACGATGACGAGTAAAACTTTCGACCGTCGAGCACTGGGAAAAAAGGCTTAATAATTTCTTTGTGAAATATAATGTTTATTTCATAGAAATCAATGTTTATTTAAATGTGGCGAAATAAAATGTTATTCCTAGCAAGTAAACCAATCAATAAGAAAATTTAGATATATTCCACAAAAATATATATTCCGTTGTCACAGTCAAGTTTTTTCTTCCAACCAATAAATATCGAAGAAAATGTCACAAGAAACATTTACTTCGCAAAATTTCAAAATTTCACTGAGAAAAAGACGTTTTCTCAGTGAAGAGACCGACATATATCGAATAATATAAATATTTACTTGATCCACGTAAAAGATTTTCCTAGTAAATTATCGAAGTAAAATATTTACTTGATCCAAATAAAAATTTGCTACGGAATATTGAAGTTTGATTTGCTAAGAAATATTGGATTGACTTGAATCTAGCATTTCTTTCCTCCGGAGCACTCGATGCTATAAAAAGTTACATTTTTCCTCAAGTCACACTATTTCCTCGTGAGACCGCGCGCCGGCCATTGTTAAATATTTCTCAGTGCGTTCTAATTTTTACAAGTGACTCTCCGATGAGGAAAAGGTTCAGGTTCAGAAGAAGATACATTAACAGCTACCACATCTCGCAACACGCGCACGCACGCACGCACGCACACACAAAAGACTCACTCTACGATCAAAGCACCACTCTTTCTCCAGGCCATTCACACGCGAGGCCATTCTTACGAGCTACACTTTTGCAATTTTCTTTGTCGCGTTTCACCCCTGCCCCCTCCTTCCCATCCTCCTTTCTTCTCGCCTTGGCTTCGCGTATAGTATCAACACACGACGATAATGCATACCGAGTAATGGCGAAAAGATCGCGCGGGTGAATAATACATCTCGAGAGCGCCGGGTGCCACATGCGACCTCCCGGCCGGCGGATCCGCGCAAATAAAATTCGAACCTTAAATAGCGCCGTCGTGCGTGAAGGGGTTAAAAGGCCTGTACCGAGTGAAAAACGCATGTTGCGCGCGCTGTCGCCGGCTGACGTGACTCTTCCGCGTGTGAGTGCGTGCGTGAGTGCGTGCGCGCGTGAATACACGCGACTCGCGAAATCGCGCCGCCCGAGGCGACGACGTTTACGGTGGACGTGTTTCTGCGCGTACACGTTCGTTCGATTTTATTCGCCGGATGGGCACGGCCTACAATTAGGACTCCTTTATGTCGGGACCGTTTTTATCTTACGCGGCCCGGAGGACCGCCGGATGCGTCCCATTAACCGCGGATTCCGTAGAGCAAATTAAGAAAAATGGGCTTTTTCATCTGCACGAGCGATGTTGACTGCGAATTTCGCCATCGCCGCGACGACGAGCCCTGCCAGTCGGCGACACAGAGAGAGGCGACGGAATTAAGCGCGGAATCTTCGTCTCGATCGCTCGAGCAATCGAGATCAGGATCTCGCATAAATTCTACCGACTTTCCGCTGACGAGGCAGACGTCGGTAAACGCTTGGGGTGAGAAAGACTCGCTGAAAAATTGCCGCCGAGGTCGATGCGTTATTCGTCAGTATTAAGGGCGAGTTGGAATTAAGGAGATTCGAGCGTTTGATCAAATATAAGATAACCTGTCATATATATATGATACAAAAGGTAGTCGAACTAACAAGGCGTAACAGAAATTTCTATCATCTTCACCGTATCATTTCCGAGATATTTAATTATAAACGTGTACAAACATAGAAACCTCATAAAACGCCAGATTTCTCCTAATTTTAATTATATTATATATAAAATGAAGATTTAAAAAACTTTTGTAATATTAAAGATTAATATATAGATATTATGGACGAATTTCAGAATTTTTTATTGACCGTTTCGTTTTGAAAATATACAATGGTGGAAAGTTTATAATTTATAATAATATTCAAGATACATATACATGTATGTATATTTATTACGAATTTATTTAGAATCGAATAATTAAGGAGACAGATATGTATAAAGTATATATATTTAAACACTTATATACTTTTTTCTATTATCTATGCATCGCTATTAGGTCAACTGATGCATAAATATATTAATAAGAAAAAATAATAATAATACTTCCACATTTGTAATATTGTATATATATTTACCTCAACTTTGTTTCAGATTAACGTTTATTATTTGTTTGGTAAAATAAATGCATAGAAAAGAAATTTTGTTTGATGAATAGTAAATTTATGGAAGGCCCTCTTGATGCGCCATTGAAAATACGATATTTAGCGGTAGAACCTCCTTAAATCTGTCGAGATGAAACGTGTTACCTCGCAGATTGTTATAGAATTTTTGTAGATTTTAGATTGTTATAGAATTCTTCAAATATAATTTAGATTTTATACGGTATGAGTCGACGAGGGATAAAAGGAAATTAAGGGTCTCAATCACCTCACATCATGTTTCTACCATTTTCTCCCTTTCACGAAAGGCAAACTTTTAATTACAATTAGTACTTTCTCTATTCAGTGCAAAAGTTTCGTCGTGATAAGTAATAGAAAGACACGAAAAACCGTCGAAGCTTCTCAACAATCTCGCTGTTGGAAAACTTTCCTGCCAGTTTGTTCTTCCAGCCGGGATTCTCGGCGTCGTTCTCTTACTTTCATTACTTCGAGAACAAGTCGCGCGCTGTATTCTTTGAGATAAACCGGCGAATTTTTGAAATCCGACCCAGTTTTCCTTAAACTTTCATCCAGAATACTCCAATAATGCATTTATCATTTTATCAAAACTTATAAACTCCAAGTCCAAATCATTATATTTTAATAATGCATTATTATTCGTTATAATTAATTTCGACAATATTTGAATTAAAATTCGGAACACCCGCACGCGACATACTGAGTAATCGTTAATGTGAGACGATCTTCTAGAATTAATTCGACAAAGAATTGTTTTGAGGAAATTGCGAATTTTCTATTTTCGAATTATCAAAATGCTTTCCGACAGGCGCCACCATAATATAGTAATCGAGCTTTTCTTCATTCTTTTAAAAGTTATAAACTCCGAAAAATCTATTTTACTTATTTATTCATCTTAAAATCGTTCCTCCTCTCGTTTCGTTGCTGTTCGTATTCGAAGCAAAATATGATGATAATCCCATATCTATTCATTTTAGCTGAACTGGCTGTGCCAGTTCAAGAAACATACACACACACACACACGTTAAAACGACGAGAGTATGAAGCGTACGTACGCACTTTCTCACGCTTTAGTGTGCGTGAATTTCTCGAAGTAGCGTAGCCAGTTCGGCTAAAAAAGAACGGGCCGTAAGTAACGCGTCGGTCAGCGACGATAAACAAAGATCAAGGTTAAGCGCTTACCTTCCTCTCGTAATCGTTGTTCGGCACGGCGAGCCAGGGCAGATCGGCTACGTGGGCGCGGAAGCTCTCCTCGAAGTCGAGCACGTCGGTCACGTTGCTCCACAGTACCACGTGCACCACCTCGAATCTCTTCCTGCGCTCGCCGTTGTCCGCGTTGACACTCGCGTAGAGCTCGACCAGCTGACGCGTGAAGTCGTCGCAGGTGGCACCGGGGTTCACGAAACTGAAGTACATGCCGATGATCTCGCATACCGGCCGGCCGTCCTCGGTGACGAGCGAAGCGGTCGCATCGAGCGGCTTTGTCTTGGCGTCGCGCGCGTTGTTAACCTGGCTGCAGCGCGCGAGCTGCTTGCCGAGCAGCCGGTGTTGCCAGCAGGTCGGCTTGCCGGCGGCCGTCGACGAGGCCGGCTTCCTCGCGACATTCACCGACGCGGATGGTGCCTGTTCGCTGATGCACGCTGCCATCGCTCGATCACCCGGTTGGCTTGCTTCATTCGCCGGCGACACGCGCCGAGCCTACCCACGGAGAAAGGCTGCCGAGGAATTCACTCGACTCTCGGAGAGTCCCGGTAGCCGCGAACTATTACCCACGCGTCTCGTCGACCGCACCAACGCGAACTGATTCACCTTTCGTTGACTCGCGCGCGGCTTCAGACCCGCGACGCGACGCCACGAAGTCGACCGATCGAAGCCGAGCGCCAACGGTCGATAGTTTCGATACTATCGAAGTATAAATATTTTTCAGAGAAAAAACGAACGATAGAGAGAAATCGATTGATCAAGGAGGCAGGTATTAGTAAGTAAGCGTGAACATTTCGCTTCCATTTCAGAGCTGATGTCGTTCTGCGTTCTGCGTATTAGCGAGATATCGATATGGGAGAAACAACATGGTAGGCGGAATTGGCGCGCATGCACGGAACGCTAAGGGCTTTAGCAGAATGGCTGATGATTTCGGTTTGTCAAGACAGTTTTATCTTTTAAGTCTTTGTCGTAAGTAACGCACAATGCGACTGTATTGTGTCTCGAGTCTTAAACCAAAAAGTCGTTCTTTTTGTGATCGATGATGTGAACCGCTGTGTAGTAAAAAAAGGTAAAAAAAATGTTAATTTAGATAAAGATTTCGAGCGCATAAAAACATTATCTTAAAATTATAAAAGCCGGTCTCACCAAGTCCGGCTAGTTAGTAGATTAAATTTAAGAGTTGCCGATAGCAAAACTTCAAGAACTCGTAAGTCGTGATAATTAATTAGTAACGATCAGTTTTAAGTTTGCACTCTTAAATCTAACCGACCGATTAAGTTAACCGGAGTTGACGAGGCCAGTCATAAGTCAGCTTTATTCTGCTAAAATTCCAAGTACAAACGTAATCCTCAACTTGCCTTTTAACGTTCACTATGAGATAGAATTTCCTTATTTGACGAAGTGTCCAAAGACGATGTATCCAAGATTTATTTCCAGTAAAGCAATTAAAAAATCGCACGTTCTTCTCTCTGACATCGTAATGCTGTGTGAAACGCCTTTATGCAAACTCGATTCTATTTTCGTAAGTCAAGTAGCTCCAAGTGGCGCCATCTGACGGTCGGTGATGTTACTCTCTCTCTCTCTCTCTCCCTCTACTCACAAGATCCAAGTGTCAATATTTTAAAAACGTTACCGTCGAATGTCAAGATATATCGTTTACCTCTAAGGCATATTAGCAATATTTCAATTGTTTTCGTTATAATGAAAATTTCGTTATAATATTAAAATGTTTCCCAAACATTTGAGACATGAATATATATATATATATATATATACGTACAATATATATATGTGTACAATATTTCTTTCACATATTACCTGTGTTTTTGCAAACAGTCTTACAGTATGGTAACGCCAGCGTGTCGCTTTGTGCTCCACTTGGGTGTTTCAAAGGGAAGAAGTATCGATTCAAATACAGCAGGTCCTTGAATTTCCCCACCAAGGATCTGCCGGCATCATCGAGTATAACGAATCCGGCCCGAGTCTGCCCGCTTTTTCGCTGACTCAGAGCTTCCGCCTGGCGAAAGCCGACGTTCTCGGCGGATTATGCTACCTGGCCGATTAACATTCATAGAATCGCCGTGTCGGCTCGCCGAGGTGAAATAATCCTGGATTACCGACCCGCTTTCTCCCTTTGCGTTACACTCGGCGTCAAGTGTGTGCCTTCACGTCTGAAGTTCGGCACTCTCCGTTCGGACGTATCTCGCATCCACGTGTCCAGCCGTCTTCCTATGCTATTGTCGTAATTTCAACCTTTCACCTTTCGATCCTCACGTAGAACGCCCGCCTATTGAACATATCGAAAACCGCCTCTCGATATAGCGCGCCGTGTAGCGCCCGACTTCGGTAGCGTGGCACGTATATGTCGTCGAGTGTACGATTCTGCGCATAATGCAAACAGAGAAGGAAATGGGCTGATCCTTTATTTGCTCGATGAGAGGGTTCTATCGCCGGGGGCCCCATGTGCCGCGAGGATCTCCGTCATTTTTCGCAGTCGCGTGCTCGAATTATATCGGAACGTATCCGCGACGCGTTCGCGCGCGCGCGCGCGCGACGTTAATCCGCGACGATCGCTCGATCGTTCTGTACGGTGAAGTTCGCCGCCGAGACCGCACGGTAAGCGAAGTTCCACTTCATTAGAGCAATTACGGATTAGCCGCGGTTAGCGCTAATCAGCAATCAACCGGCCGTGAGTCATACGGACTGCCGGCTTTAATTCTAACCTCGGATCACCGGTGCCTCTCTCTTTCTCTCTCTTTCTTTCCTTCTCGCTTCCTTTCTCCCTCTTTCTCTCTCTTTCTAGACACAATCTCGCCTCCGATGCAGTCGTAGGCGGGAAATCCCGTTTTAACGAGGGTGCACCAGCTAATATTAGAAAGGCGTGCACAAGCGGGGCGCGATCGCAAATAATCGCGATTATTAAAAATTCACACGTATCGGCGATCGATCGGTCCGCCGAAGGAAGAGGTCGCCCGAGGTGGCGGCGCAGGCGGAGAGAGATAACGACAGGCGATTCAATTGGACTCGCGTGCGCGCACGTCATCGGTCACGGCCGGCCGCGTTTTGAAAAGTGCGTGACATTCCGGCGACTCGTTCGAGCGTCGTCCGTTGAGCGACGCGGAATCGCGGCGGATTCTCCGCCGGAGATGGACTGGGAAATAAATCGAACGCTATCGAAGGCGGCCGGTAATCGTCCGATGTCGTCGTAGCCGTCCTCGTCGCTGCGTCGCGCGAATCGGCGAGCGAGCGAGCACGCACGTACGCACGCACGCACGCACGTACGCACAGTGGTGTTTCGCATCGTGCGCGTCATTGGCGTGCGAGAGGCGCAATGTTTTTGCCGGATTAATTGCGTAGCCGCGCGGCGAACGAGCGCGATCTGTCCGTCTCTTTTCCTCTCTCTTTCTCTGACAGTCTTCCTTCCGGCGTTTCTCTTTCCGCTAGAGGCGCGTTGCGCGTCGTCGCCGCCGCCGTTGCGGACGTCGCAGTTGCAGGCGCAGTTGCAGTCCCGCGAGCCGACGGAATCGCACGCGCTCTCTGTCTCTCTCTCTCCCTCTCTCTCTCTCCACCACGTTGTGTCTTATATATCACGAGACTCGCCGCGAGTGATCAATGGTACGTCGCGAAACCGTCCCTACGTGACGACACCTCCGCGTCCCCCGTGCTCGCGTGCGATTTGATTCGCGCCCTCGACGAGGGGACGCGCCGTAATTCGCGTGAAAACAACGTGGCCCGGGGCCGCGCACCAATGTCGGGAAGCGGTCGTTAGCTATACGCCTCTCATTCCGCGTTCCTCCGCGCGCATCACGCTCTAATTGTCGCCTACGCGTAATTCATCATTGCTATGGACTGATACGTTTGTCGCGTACAATCGCTCGCAAGCAAGGTGAGTCCTGATGTTTTGCGTAACAATCGCACATTGTGCTATTAAGTCTATTAACAGATGATTGAGACGCGAAAGCGAAGGTAAACACACACATACATACACATACACACATCATACATACATACATATACACACACGCGCACACGGTCATATAATTATAACGAGTAGTGTCGTCTGTCGTATTTCTGCGTGCACTTCAGTTTTCCTTGGGAAATTTCTTGCGTTCTTTTTTTCGTTTAATCACTTTATTATTCTTCGTGATATGTTAATCGTCTTTTTTTAATGATCTCTGCACTTTATCCAGTTTACTGTACAAAAAGCGGATAGAATGTAATCTTATATTCAGTAGCTCATTCAATGACTCATGATAAATTATATGTATGTTGATCTTAGATTTACAATGAGTTCGCAACCGATTGTGGTACCTGGTGGAGAACATCGTCCCCATTCAGAAGCACATTCTGTACCGGTTGGGGGCTCAGCAGATGCCTTTAAAACCATGACACCGCCAAATGTCAGCAGGTCTTTCAGTCGTGAGTATATTATTTTATCTTATGCCGTTTAACTTTTTAATGTATGTGTGTGTGTGTGTGTGTATATGTATGTATGTATGTGTGCGTGCGTGTGTGTGTTATTAGGAATATATTCTTGATATATTCTTGATATTGAGTATGCAGCGATGCCACAATACATATAACTTGTTTACATCAATATAAGAGCCACTACAGTGATAACTTGTCGTTATCTATACATATTTGTGTGACTTACAAATTAGCTTATAGGATATTATGGAAATCTAGAAGTAGCAAAGGAGACTCTAAGTAAGCACAATAGAAATATCTTTGGCTGTGTTGTAATTATACATACAAGTACATACAAATGGTAGAGGTTCATACCTTCAAAATCTACTATTTGTGCAATTTGTAAGAATGTTTGTCATTGACATTTGAGCCATACTGTATTAAGGATATAGATATAATTGCAGCATGTCTCTGCAGAATTCTCATCTATTATTAAAGTATTCTAAGACTCGGTAGGTTTATGTAATACTCTTGTAAATTACGTACAGTTTCTTATGTTTATATAATATCAACACTTGTACAAGCTGGTATTCATGTACATGTTAGTCTGTTATTTATATGAATGCATGTACTTTCATAAGGTATATTTATTTTTAAAGCAACAATTGTAAAAAAACTCGCACATGCACGTGATTATATACACTAACAACAGTTATAAAACATCTTGGATATTTAAATATATCTTTAATTGGAAGCTACAAGAAATAATGAGAACAGGTACACTCCTCAATTCAACATACAAACAATTCTATTGATAGCATTTCGTTTATTGTTCGTGTTTTTGCCTTATTTGCGACGTATTTCGCGCATAAAACTACTTAGTAAGTTTGCCAACGTGTCAGATGCAAAGTTATGGCAGCTCATTAATATGAATGAAATATATACTGTAGCAAGTCTCTTACTGTTGGAAAAATGGAAATCAATATCTGAGAGTGTATAATAGAACCGTTCTCATATTATAGTAGGAATCCCTAGTACTATAAGTACCGTAGTTTGTTGTGAATAATAACTACGCTTTATGGCCCACTTTTCTACTGTTTGCGACATTTAATACGGACAATATGCGATTTTACGTTGAGTGCCTTTCGAGTAAAATGAAGGTATTAACTCAAAATGTTGTTTTAAGTAATACGTCTTTTTTCTGATAAAGGCCTTTGAGTATATTATTTCCTAAGCAATATATATGTATAACCGTAGAAAATATACGGTATAAAAATAATGACTTGGATACAAGCTACATACATTTTATATTTATACGTGGAATATTTTTATTAAAAGGATTTGCGTAGGGAAATCGCGTGCTGTTAACACTTGTAGAAATAATATTATAAGACGGTATATTATTAACTATATTATTTCAGGATTTTTCCCATTTACTGTACATTCCTGATATTACGTACATTCGTGGGCAGAAAGGTTGTCCTATTCCCTAGGCACAGTGATATCGGAAATTTTGAATTTAGAGTATCATTTCTAGATATTCGTACATCATGATTATTCTCTGAGTCGGCAAAGATGCTCCAAAGCAAGTCATAATGCACGAATATTAAGAAATGCTGCGCCTAATTCGAAATTTCCAATATCACTCTGCCTAAGGAATGGGACAACTTTTCTGTTCACGATTTATCTATTATTTATTGCTTTCGTGAGTTGCCTGCATATGTGGTAGCACAAAATAGCATGTAGCAATATAATATAGCATACTCCATTGTGCATGTATAATTTGTGCATGCGTGTTTTATTTTTTTTGCAGCAAAGTAGGCAAACGTGCAATATCTTTCGTGAAAATTTAATTACAGATAATCACATGTTTTGACGGTTTTCTCTCATCTTCTTCACTATAAAAAAGAATAATAATAACATTGTGACTTGTATTATTACACATTAACATTACCTATCTGTAACGTAGAAAATACAAATTCGTTTTATATGTACTGTCAAGTAATCATTGAATAGTTTTGGTTGAAGCGTTCTTCTATTTGTGTAATATGATATGAAACGTGATGATAAATATTGAGCGCAACTGTATAAGTGCTAAATATATAGAACCAGCGGATCGACATCTTCGACGAAGCAGCATTCAAGCACAGTCTACACCATTACCTAAACTTCCATCAACTGAGTCCCTTTCAACAAGCATAAATATTACAGCCGGTGCACCTCCAATGTCTCCAGGTATAAATCTAGAAATATTTTCGAAAATTAATACGTATTATTGCTATAGTATGGAATAACTGAACAAATACAAGCAGCTTTCAAAACTTGATTGGCATTACATGCTTTTTTTCTGTAGTATAATAAATACATACATGCTAGAGAGATTCTAAAATTACGGCTTCTAAAACTATTTTCGAAATTTATTTTTACATTCTGTTTTACATGCAATTTTTTATAAACTTTTAACTTTCATATAACGTAGCGATATGATTTAATGCTTTTTACTTGCACTCTATGCTTTTTCTCGCAAATTAAGCTTTATATATAAGCTGAATATGCTAAAAATACGTTTATTTAATTAACATTATTGTTTGTTACTTACATCATCGACACATATAGAGTACATACAAAAATCTGATTATATAACTCAGTGTAATAATGCAATAATGCGAACTTGTGTCTTATGTATTTTACAATCTATTTCATAAGATTTGTATCAAATTTAGATATATTTATACAAATTATGGGAGAGAGAGAGAGAGAGAGAGAGAGAGAAAGAGAGAGAGAATATTCTCTTGTACTATAAATTTGATTTTATATACTATTTTACTAAATTTTTATTATTCTTATATCTGTATTTTAATATCTGCATAACTAAATTTGTCTTTGTTGAACTTAAAATTTGATGCAAATCTTATAAATTATTCTATATACTGTGCATACACATGTATAAATGAGATATTGGAGATGATTTAGTGTAGTAATAATAGATTTCTTAAAAATCCGGTTTTTTTCCATTGTATATGATTGAGAAAAATGCGTCAGTAAATGAATATATATTTTTACGCAATAGAAGTGAATGTTTTAATATAACTGTAGCTCATTTATAATATATA